ACCCCCCCCCCACACACACACAAAACAACTTGCGCTAAATGTTCAAATAACGGAAAAACGAAGACTTCGCCATAAGTTCAAATAACAGGGTTTTCCTGTTTTTGTTTGTTTGTCACTTCTCTCTATGTACACCCTTTGGGTTTTAAATTGATATTCATATGTTAGTGAGACCGTGGCACGTGGATTTTCACCTATTTTCAAAAAAGTTGAGTGGCATCCCTGGTACCAGGTGACCCCAAAAAACCTTTACCCACGGAGACACCCATAAAACGGTTAAAATAGAGATCATAGCAACACATGATTTGACAGAAGTACTTTATGGTCACCATTTGGATTTTTTGTGACAAATTTACACCCCCGGGGGCGGTGCCACTGACTGAAGTGTCTTTAGGCCATTCCCAAAAGGGGGACATCTCGTTCTATGTACAGTAGCTGCTTTTTCTTCCTCCACTTCTTTTGTATGTTTGTCACACTCTTGTGAGCCGCTCTTTCCGGGGTGCCTTGATAGTCGAAGCAAGCTTTGTGCTGTTGAAGCTAGAGAGGTGGTCAGAGTAAGTCTGATTACCTGTAAGGATTTCTCTGTTGACATCCACCCGTTGGCGCTCATATGACCTTAAGCTGTTGCGAGCGCCGTAAAACCTCTAGTAAAACAAAAAAACAAAAAAAGTTTACAAATAAAAATTCCAAGTTTGAAGGAAGTTAGATCACATGCTCTATGTGACGTCCGTTTCGGGTGATACACGCTCTGAGGCGCATGGCGAAATTGTCATGAGCCTTTTTATGTACCTTGATCTTGCACGGTTTATACTTCAGGTCGTACTTCAACATACGCCGAACAGATTCTCTAACTATAGTTAATTCAATATGATGACGCCGAACTGACTCTTTAGGTTCTTCGCTCACAGACTCCATCACCACTGCCATGCTCTCAGTCTCAGGAGTGTGCACTTGCATCGGTCTCCCACTGTGGGTGACCCTAGTTTTTTTAATCTACTGTTTTTATTTTCAGCAGAGCCATGTGACTTGAAGTCAGCCACCCACTTAAGTATTGTTACTTCACTTAGTATTTTCTTATGGTTTTTGGTGTTAATTCCAAACCGTTTAAAGAAGAGATCCCCTGTCTGCATAGGGGACTTTGTTTCCATATGTTTCAACCATAAAAACACGTTGTTCAACAGTTAACTGTATCTTTGGAGTAGCCATGGCTGCTTCCATGGTACTGTTGTTTTTCTTTACCTGTTTCTATTTCCGGGTGGTTCAGCTTGCTTCCTGTCAATTTTTGTGTGAATTGTGCACTTTGATGGAGATTTATAAGGTTTCCCGCAAGTAAAGATTTTTTTTTTGTGGATCAGTTGGTATGAGCCAATCTCTAAAGGTCTGTTTCAAACTTAACAAGAGCACAAATTTCGAACGGCCAATTTTTATTCTTTCATTTATTATTTTTTTTTACTTTAATGCAATCTGTACAGGGTATGTATATTTCTAAAATGCTTTTTAAATTTAGAAAAAATCTGATGCCACACTTTTACAGGAAAGTGTATCAAATTTTTAAATTCATGCTAGGGGGTCACAACAAAGTGAAATACATGTAGCAAAATGCAATATTTCCTTTCTGGATGGAGATAGTTCTAGAAACTTTTTTGTTTTTTGCTTCAAACGCAAATTTTATATTATGACAACATAATGTTTTATAGTTTTGTGACCTGAGAAGAAATGTATCTTTATATGATATATGTCTGTATCTGAGCCAGGCCTGTGTTGGTGCTATCTTGCTATGTATTCGACATTGGTAAGGCGTCTACGGCAACAGGACACTTCTTGTGAACTAGTCGTATAAACACTTGTTTGAACTGACTTTGACATCATAGTTATCGTTTTGAAGTGTTTGGATCTCCCCCCCCCCATCTGTGACTGGTCCTTTCAGTTTTACCTCATTGCCTTTACACTTTACTCTTTGCTCCTAACTGTAATTATTATATCTTTGATATGTTAAAGTCTTTTTTCGAGAGGATGAATGTGTCATAAGAGCTATGGACAATACTTTTGTATCTCAAGATACAGTATTTTATTTGGCACATCACAGGATGCATCCATCCATCTTGTATCTGAACAAATAGCCTTTTGCTATGTCATTTAGCCAACCTGTGTCATTGAGAAAAAGTTCGGTGGTAAATCAGTTGTTTATTTTAGTTGTTGTTTTTTTAGTTGTTTCACCATGAAAGTGGCATTCTCGAGAAAGGATAGATCTAGTTTGGTGTCCCCACCCTCGAAGCTTGTATTTGTTGTAAGGTACTTGAGTAGTTCGATCTTGTCCACTCACTTTATACTTTATCGCCAGCTCTGGGTAATGATCCTTTTGTCAATTTTTTTTCCTACTACTATTGTTTTACATGGGTTTTCTTTATTTTGAACTGTGAATCTCTTAGAGATATTTTTTACTTGTGATTTCGTTTGTGTAGACTGATTGCAGTGAGTTTTACCGGAAGTGTGCTGTGAATGTGAATGTTTGCTGCTCTTTTATGGATGTGGATATATATATATATATTCATTTTATTCTGTATTTGTAATGCATTATATTCTATTTTAAGGTTTTACAGGAAAAAGAAAAAAAATAAAGAAAATAAATAAACCCGTTTTACAAAACCCTCAGTGTGCTGTTGTAGATGGCGAAGGGGCTGGTGATCTACTATCCTTTGCTTCTCAAAACCTCTCAATGAGTGCCTAGTATGTACTTTATTTATCTTCCATTTGGAAGGTACGTAGTTTCAAATGTGTTTTCGCCAGCTTTTGATACACAAAATGTATTTATTTCATTGTTCTTGGTAGCCCAACTTAACATGATACACCCTTACTGGCGTGTAAACACATCACGCGCGTGCACACGCACATACTCTCTCACACACACACACACACACACACACACACATACACACACACACACACACACACACT